TAGCTGAACGGCATATAACTGCCAGCCAGGGTGGCGGGCAATTGTAGCTATGAGGTAGCTACATTATGTTGAGGTATCTTGAAGTTTGTGTTTTTTGACCTGTTCATAATTATTGTCTGAACTATACGACATGAATGCTAAATTAGCATGGATGTAAAAAAAATTATTGCGGCCGAGATCTGTTGGTCAAAAACTTGAAAGCGTAAAAAATGAAAGTGCAAATATTCTATTTGAATATGTGTTGTGGTTTTTGCTGTGGACCTATAGCTTGTAATCAATACCATTATTACATATGGTATCTCTATTTAACAGCAACTAGTATTCATTGTACTTAGTCAATATCCTTCAACAATTAAATTCATTGTCGAAAAAATAATCAGAAAAAGAATGTCTTTCAGATACAGCAATAGCAGGACACCTTCATGGTAGCCAACCCCAAATGGTAGGACTACCATCACCATGTTTTGCTCCCGAAGCCGTCTTATTGGACCTGGATTGGATACTGAACACATCCACAGGCGTGTTTGCCCGTGCAGTTGGGTAAGGCCGGGACACAGCTCTGGGCTGTGGCCAGGTAGGGGATGAGAGACGCCCCCAACTCCCCCCCCCCCCCCCTCCACTCTCTCCTCCTTCGATCTAGCCAGAACGAGAGGCTCCGTCATAGGGGGAATATTTCAAACGCATGGCTGAGTGAGGAGGCATGGCAGAAAATAAACAGGAGCGACGGCAGGAGGAGGAATCAAAGCCTCGGACTCCCACAACATCCTGTCTGTCACTGAGCAGAGGAGGCCGGCTGCCTGTCAGGACAAGAGCCCTTTGTGGCTGTGAGTGCGCATGCATTCATGGTACTCGCGTGGTTTTTATGTGTGCGTTGAAGTCAAGTGGCTGCATGTGTGTTTCATCTCCCTAAGGCCCTCCTCTCTGACACTTACACACACACACACAAACTTTCCAGTGAAAACTAGACACATTGCAGATTGAGTGAAAGACGTGTGGCCCCTGCAGGCCTCAGAGGGAGAGGGGCCCTTGGGTGCAAAAGTATGGATCGCAACCCTCCCTATAGCGTTGTTACATATCATTCACCACCCTCTCACTCTCTCACCTTCTCATTTTGCAGGGGGGCTCTCTCTTTTTGCTTCTCCTCCTTCTGCAAAACCACATCGCGCACACACACACACACACACACACACACACACATACACACTAACATGCATGTTTGCACGTGTGTGTGAACACACAGCTGCACGCTGTAACAGCATCAGTCTGATTGAGCGTTTTGATTAACTTCATGTAACATGTTAATTAACCAGCATGCACATGAAAAAGAAGGTCACATGGTAACCAAATGATATTCTGACACACTAAAGGTGTTTCTCCCTTTATATTTTGATATTATATTATTTTCCTTTTATTTATATATCTGCTACTTACACACCACTTCTTCGACCATATATATTTATAGACTTACTGTGCGTAATGGCTGCGACTGAGCGAACGATCGAGTATGAGGGTAGCTCAGATACGCAAGGATATACGTTGGTTGACAGCTTATAGAAAAGGAAGATAAGGTTTGTACTTTAAGTATTAGCGTTTTCTGAAGCCACTAACTCCATGGTAACATCCGCTAGCAGATTGTTGGGTCTTTAATGTGTCTTTTTCCGTCGAAATGCTGCAAGATCCGACTTGCAGCGGTTATGGCGACTTTGGACGGTGTGTGTTTGGGCTCCTTTTATGAAAAATCCATAAGAAATGAAAGAACATCGATGATTTCTTTGCAAAGATGAGGGTTTTGGGCATGCTGGGATACCAAACACAGCCATGTTTTGTGACGTAGTTTGCCCAAGCAAGCCGTAGGAACGGAAGGGGAGGGGATCAAGGACGCCGGCGTCCTCGCGGAGTTGAACAGGCGAAACCCTTGTCAAATAAATGAGATGATACAATGTGATGATCACAAAGACATTTATTTATCATGTGTATGTAAACCTGCATACACAACAAGAAGCCCAACAGGCTTTCCCACGAGCGTTGGATGTTTCGTCGCTAGGTGTCGCTTTATTTTCGAAGGCTTCAGTGCTTCGTTTGATAGCATTAGCCCACATTCCACACACTGAAAGTGTTGAGAAAGTCAGGATTGTACTTGCGCACACATTTAGACTTTTGGGGGGGGGGGTATGGCACCACTGTCGTCTTCATTTTTTCTACCACTACAGTGTAGTGGTTAAATCGTGTAATGTTTATGATTCATTAAATGATTTAACACTGCTGCCCTCTAGTGGTTAAATCATATAATGTTTATGATTCATTAAATGATGTAACACTGATGTAACACTGCTCCAGTCTGTCTTTGTTCATCCTGCATCGCTCTGTTCTGTTCTTTAATGTAACGTTACTGGAGCGACGGAGCCTCTCCCAGCTGTTAGCAGACTGTTGTGCTAGCAAGCAGGCTTGCTGTACCCAGCATGCAGTTCGGCGATGAAATTTTATAAATATACAATTATTAGTGTTACAAATTGTTTATGTGTCACAGACTGTTGTGTTGTGTTTTTCTCTGTTAAAGAGCATTAGTTGTGGGTTGTTAATTGTTGTGTTATAAAGTTATGACCATGACTAGGGTTCCCTCTCAATACATATAAGGCAACTAGCGCTGACCGCTGTGCGTTAGCAGTAAAGAATGCATTTAGCTGCCTGTTGAAAGCAGACAGCAGTTGTTTTGGTTATGCACCGGCATAATGGTGTGAAGAATTCATATCATACGGGAAATTAAAACCGGTATACTGTCCACCTCTAGTCTTTATTATATTTTGGACAATTGCGTACCAATATTTGACGGGCTGGATTAAAAAGCCCAACGGCCGTAGTTTGCCCGTACCTGCGAACTAGCGGCTAGCTGAGTATCTTCTTCTGCTTATTGTAGCTTGTTAAACAACTGACTGACGCATTACCGCCACCAGGTGGTGGGAAGCTATATTGTAACTGAGCGTCTCATGGAGAACAGTAATATCTCTGGTGTCTTCAATTGATAACCTATGCGGTCCCGCGGCCCTCGCGGCCCACAGGTGCAAAACTGAAAGTTTTTTGCGGCCCTCTAGGTGGCGTTCGCGGCCCCATGGTTAAGAATCACTGTCCTACAGGACCACCGGACCTCAGACTGGGAACCACTGGTATACCTGAGTCACTAAATGAGAGAGGGAATGTTTACCAGAGGAAACATCCATTACACCACGACCTCAACCTAATGATGAGGGTGATGTAAAAGAAGATGGTAATTATGGTTCAAATGCTTTTGACCTTTGGGGTCTAATTTCCTGCAACTGAAAAACAAGAGTCTAATTGGTGTGTTGCACTGTGGTAAATGTCACTGGTCAGAGCTTCATGCAATCCAATATTTCCCTCTCAGTCATACAAGCTGGATGTTTACCTGGACAATGTCTCCCCCCTGAGGCTGAAGATTATTTACACCGTGAAGAAGAAAAAGAAAAAAGAAACAGCCACACATAAACATCACCCATAACTCATTTAATGCTGGCATATTTTGTTCCATGTCTTACGCAGAAGCTCAATGCCATTTAGTTTGTACACTTCTCGCATGTTTGTCATACTCAAACATGTTGCTTTTGACATGGTTGTATTATCATTACATATAACGAATGTGGAGAAGTAATGTCTCAATTCATTCTCATCTTTTCTGAATCCTCTACTCTTGACAGATTACAGTAACTGAGCTTAACTGCAAATATCTGTAAGATTTTGGGTAATCAGGTGATGCTTTTGAACTTTATAGTTATATGATTTTTATGTATTAATTTTATTGTTTATGAAAGTTAGTTTTTTTTCTCCATATTTTCCTTTCTTTCTACTTTTAAGTCTTTTTTATGGATGACAACCAGAAGACAGCAAACTAAGAACTACATCGTGTATAATGAATAATTTGTCAAACATATGACAGTAAAAACCTGATTGCACGTTCATTCGCTGTGCCTCAGTTTGTTGCACAGCTTCTTCAGTCTCTTCAGTTGTGTTGGATGTTATCTTTAAGGGGTTGATCTCATCTCATCTCATTCGTTGTCCTTGTCTAAGTTTAGGTTTTCCTCCAAATGTAACATAGAGACACAGAAATATTAGCAGGGCCACATTAAACTGCTGGGGGACCCTGGGTTGAAAAAAAGCCCCAGTGAGTGATCTATTCCTCCTACTCTCTCAGGTGTGTGTGGTAGTTTATACAGTGTATGTGATAGGTAAACACAAAATAACTATGAACATCTTAAATTGTTCAGATTTTAAGAAGAAGAAGAAGAACTTTATTAGTCCCTCTTGAGGATTTTATTTGTTTCGCTGTTATTTTTTCTTATTACACACATACACACACACATACACACACGGGAAATACAGACACATATTGCCAGATGCCAGAGTGAGATGCCAGAGGTATGGCCGGGGCTGCTGAGGGTTAGGGTTATAGTCAGCAGCCCCAAGCAGTCAGGGGTTCAGTTGGACTGACACGTCTCCAGCTACCAGTCCACCACAGTCCGTAACGTGGTCCGTATTGGACTTGAACTGGGCCACACTCTGGTTCTTAAGCCAAGTCCCCCACAGACTGAGCTGTTGAGGCTACAGCATACGGCTTTAAGATGAAATAATAGAGCAGGGCCCATTTTAAGTCGCTTAAATTGATATTGTGCTTTAATCGTGAACTTTCCCAAACAGATTAAATAAGCAGTAACCAGTTGTCGTAATTGGCAAGTCTGACATTTTTTTTTAGCAATGACACTTTCAGGTAGTGAGTTAACTTTCATACAAAGTATGTGAGTGAAACGTACAATATTTCTCATTGGGAATATCCGTTTGTCCCTCTCTGGAATGCATGTGAATAAAGTGTAAAGTATTACAAATTTACAAATACAAAATGTTCCAGTAAGGTGTCTCAAAACTGTACTTTCTTTACTCAAGGACATCTGCGCTACATGCGTTCAGCTCTGCGCAGGCCACTCGACGCAACACAGCGCTTGTGAAGTTTTTCGCACGTACCCTTGCAGACGGCCCAGCCTAACTTAGCGATGCCATACCTAGCTAACATTTCTCTGCGCTAGCTAGGTAGTCGTGCGATGAGAGATATTCTGCAAGAGCAGAATAGCAATTGAGTGGCCGACACATATAAGAGAAACACGTAAGTTGTTCAAAGTGACGTTACTATCTTGCTAACACTTTGCTACAGTAGATAGCTTAACCTTAGCAGTAGCTAACGTTAGCTAAACAAAACCAGCATGATACACTCATGAGGCTCTGTGTTAGCCTGTAACCTACGTGACATAACATAATGACACACTACTTAGACGTGTCAGTGTTGTACTAACTCTTAGTATTGTACAGAATATATATTTCTAGTTTCGTGTAATGTCTCTGTTTGGTATGTTGAGTTAATCAGTAAGGTTTCTGAAGCTAACCAGACGCGTTAGCTTGCTGCAACGTCAGCTAACAACAACATTGACCTGTGTAAACAACTCAGGACGGATATACTCTCTTTCCAAGTATGGTCTTTGAACTTGTTATTCTTTGTCTTTGTTGCATTTCCTTTGACGACCCAGGACGTGTTAGCGAAGGCATAAATCCACGTTATATGTCTCCTTGCAGATTAAGCCATCCAAATGGTGATCATGTCAGGCACAGCCACTGTGCTGCAGCAGTTTATCAGTGGGCTGAAGAATCGAAATGAAGACACCAGAGCAAAATCTGCCAAAGAGCTGCAACACTATGTGACCACAGAACTCCGAGAGGTAAAAACATAAAAGTAAACATGGATGTAATAGAAACCTGCCACGAGGATATGATTACAATATACTGTTGTTGCCCACAGCTGAGTGATCAGCTGTTTACACTGATTCATTGTGGATATGAAGACTTTTTAGACACCTAGTTTTCTTTTTTTACTTCATTGTACAATTCATCAATTCTGCTTTTTCAACACACATTTTTTGTGCCTTCCACAGTTAAGCCAAGATGAAGCCACTACATTCTACGATGAGTTGAACCATCACATATTTGAGCTGGTATCCAGCTCCGATGTGAATGAGAAGAAAGGAGGGATTCTCGCCATCGGTAAGCCGTAAACATCGACATGCTTTATTTAACTTTATTAAATGTAACGTTTGTTTACCGACGATCTGGTGGAATTCTCCAGAGATAAGTGACTGTCCTGGATGTAGGTATGTCACCTGAAGATGTGCAATACAGTACACAGTATGTGTGAAACAGCATATTACTGAGACTCAATCCTGTGTTCCAGTGAGTCTGATCGGAGTCGAGGGAGGCAATGCCACCAGGATCAGCCGCTTTGCCAATTACCTGCGCAACCTGCTCCCGTCCAGCGACCCTGTGGTGATGGAGATGGCCTCTAAAGCCATGGGCCACCTGTCTATGGCAGGGGACACCTTCACTGCAGAGTATGTGGAGTTTGAGGTGAAGAGGGCCCTGGAGTGGCTGGGAGCAGACAGAAATGAGGGCCGACGCCATGCTGCAGTAAGTGACTCACAGACGGCAGGGGCTGTTTTGTTTGTTGTTGAAATAAAGCCACTTCTTGGTGGTGTGTTTACAGTATGTGTGGTGGAGATGAGGGCTGAGGACAGTTTGACTCAAGATTGTCCCATTGACCCGTTTTTACTTTGTAAAGCAGCACTAAGCTCATTATGGTCGAGAACACACTCATTGCTGTTCAGGAGACAGTGTTGAACTTTGCTAGTGAAGGAGGAAATTACCCCTTTATTTATATTCCAACATTTTTATATTTAATACAGGTACATGATTTTTGCCAATTTTCAAACACGTGGAATACATTTTCAGATCATACAAGAATGATTGTCAGGATCTTGCCCCCTCTAAATGGAAATGATCGCTGATGGTTTTGTGGGCAGCTATTCATGCTGACTCTGTGCCGACATCAACGGGAAGAATGAAAACGTTTGAGGCGACCAAAATAATCAACATGAATACTTCTATTAACCTGTAAAATTTTTGATTTGTTTGGTCAAGCTCGATTGTTCAATTTCCTGCCAAATAACGGGGCAGACTGAGGCTTTCGTATGTCAGTGAGCTTTGATGCTGAATGTGTAAATGCAGATTGTGTGGCTTGAGTTGATAAAACAAGTGCATTTTCTATACAGTTAACAAGTGCAGCTCTAATTAGAAGACACTCTTGCCATGTATGTTAACAACCCAGTCATAACGTGACGTGAGCAAGGTGGAGCCCGCGTTAAAAGCATATTTTTTATGTCACGTTAAGCATTTATGCTCATCATAGTAGTGGTCATAATCACAAAAATATTTCTAGACTACTTTTATTTAAGTGGCACAGTTTCCTCCGAACACATTAATCTCTCACGCTCTCTTTACCACATCGTCTCTGAGTTGATGGTTTGATGGTGAATGGACACATCATTTTAGCAACCAAATATAACATTGTTGTAACAACAAATTTAAGATGATGATGGAACAATACACACACAATTTATTTCCAGTAGCACTTTTTTTTTTTAATTCGAAGGGTTGATATTAATTGCTGAGTGATGTCTCAAAGCACAATATTTACACATATTTTACACTGGAAAGACCCAAGAACGGCAATCAATGACCAGCTGTGAAATGCTTTCCTGTCCTTTCCAGGTGTTGGTGTTGAGGGAGCTGGCTGTGAGCGCGCCCACCTTCTTCTTTCAGCAAGTGCAGCCCTTCTTTGACAACATCTTCTACGCAGTGTGGGACCCCAAGCAGGCCATCCGGGAAGGGGCTGTCTCTGCACTGCGAGCCTCTCTCATCCTCACCACACAGAGGGAGACCAAGGAAATGCAGAAACCGCAGTGGTACAAAGTAAGACATCGCAGTAACTTCCCTGCATGCATTTGCTTGAATAAAGCCTTTGTTCTTGTATCAGACAACACGAGTGTTCGTCTTTTCTGTAACAGCAAACCTTCGAGGAGGCAGAGAAAGGCTTCGATGAGACTTTGGCCAAAGAGAAAGGGATGAATCGCGACGACAGGGTCCACGGGGCTCTCCTGATCCTGAATGAGCTGGTCCGCATCAGCAGCATGGAGGGAGAGGTGAGGAAGCCGCGTCCACCGTGGAAACGTTTCTCGCATCCGCAAAGTGAAACCTTCATCTCAACCGTCTCGTCTCTATGACAGCGCATGCGCGAGGAGATGGAGGAGATCACGCAGCAGCAGCTGGTCCACGATAAGTACTGCAAGGAGATGATGGGATTCGGAGCCAAGCCCCGGCACATCACGCCCTTCACCAGCTTCCAGTCGGTGCAGCCCCAGCAGTCCAACGCCCTCCTGGGCCTGCTGGGCTACAGCACGCCGCAGGGCTTCCTCAGCTTCGGAGCCACGCCGGCGCCCGCCAAGAGCTCGCTGGTGGAGAGCCGGTACTGCCGCGAGCTGATGGAGGAGCGATTCGACCAGGTAGGTCTCACAGAACAGGTCTGGCTTTTCCCCAGAAAAGCTGTTTTGGTAATTGCTTCATCTGACGATCATTGTGTTGGTGAATTGATGTTGTGGGCTTAAGAAGAGATGCATACCAAGCCATGGCATTTTACAATTTCCCAAGTAATTCAAGTGATAGAAATATCGATAACGTCCTCATAATAGTGCCAAAATGAGGCCCATAAACATTTTACTACCCCCCACAACAGAAAATGAGAAGATTATTAAGCTGTTAATAGCTGTGATGGCGATTTAAGTACAGCATAATTATGATGCTTCTTTAATGCATATCAACCCTTGCATCTACACTTTTACCCGGGTCTTGGCGAATGTTTTTTGTTTGAAAAACATTGTATTTATGTGCCATCTCAAAAAAAAATAGTATGTCTGGAAAGAGTATGTGTATAAGGTGAACAGCACGAGGCCAGCGCTGCTGCTTTAGCACCCGGTAAATCTTAGTTGACACACGCTTGTATTATGTGCTTTTGTCCAGGTGTGTCGGTGGGTGCTGAAATACAGGACCAGTAAAAACCCTCTAATCCAGATGACCACCCTCAACCTGCTTCCACGCCTGGCTGCCTTCCAGCCAAATACCTTTACAGGTAAGACAATTAAATGTTTGAATGTAACCCAAGATCCATTTTATTCTTTAGTAAAGTAACATGCAGCCATGCATTCTTTCCCGTCACTATACAGTTGTGTGAAAAAGTGTTTGCCCCCTTCCTGATTTCTTATTTTTTTGCATGTTTGTCACATTTAAATGTTTCAGATCATCAAACAAATTTAAATATTAGACAAAGATAACACAAGTCAACACAAAATGCAGTTTTTAAATGAAGGTTTTTGTTATTAAGGGGGAAAAAAAAAAATCCCAACCTACATGGCCCTGTGTGAAAAAGTGATTGCCCCCTAAACCTAAACTGGTTGGGCCACCCTTAGCAGCAACAACTGCAATCAAGCGTTTGCGATAACTGGCAATGAGTCTTTTACAGCGCTGTAGAGGAATTTTGGCCCACTCATCTTTGCAGAATTGTTGTAATTCAGCCACATTGGAGGGTTTTCGAGCATGAACCGCCTTTTTAAGGTCATATCACAGCATCTCAATCGGATTCAGGTCGGGACTTTGACTAGGCCACTCCAAAGTCTTCATTTTGTTTTTCTTAAGCCATTCAGAGGTGGACTTGCTGGTGTGTTTTGGATCATTGTCCTGCTGCAGAACCCAAGTGCGCTTCAGCTTGAGGTCACGAACAGATGGCCGGACATTCTCCTTCAGGATTTTTTGGTAGACAGCAGAATTCATGGTTCCATTTACCACAGAAAGTCTTCCAGGTCCTAAAGCAGCAAAACAGCCCCAGACCATCACACTACCACCACCATATTTTACTGTTGGTATGATGTTCCTTTTCTGAAATGCCGTGTTTCTTTTACGCCAGATGTAATGGGACATACACCTTCCAAAAAGTTCAACTTTTGTCTCGTCAGTCCACAGAGTATTTTCCCAAAAGTCTTGGGGATCATCAAGATGTTTTCTGGCAAAACTGAGACGAGCCTTTATGTTCTTTTTGCTCAGCAGTGGTTTTCGTCTTGGAACTCTGCCATGCAGGCCATTTTTGCCCAGTCTCTTTCTTATGGTGGAGTCATGAACACTGACCTTAATTGAGGCAAGTGAGGCCTGCAGTTCTTTGGATGTTGTTCTGGGGTCTTTTGTGACCTCTTGGATGAGTCGTCGCTGCGCTCTTGGGGTAATTTCGGTTGGCCGGCCACTCCTGGGAAGGTTCACCACTGTTCCATGTTTTCGCCATTTGTGGATAATGGCTCTCACTGTGGTTCGCTGGAGTCCCAAAGCTTTAGAAATGGCTTTGTAACCTTTTCCAGACTGATAGATCTCAATTACTTTTTCTCATTTGTTCCTGAATTTCTTTGGATCGCAGCATGATGTCTAGCTTTTGAGGATCTTTTGGTCTACCTCACTTTGGCAGGCAGGTCCTATTTAAGTGATTTCTTGATTGAGAACAGGTGTGGTAGTAATCAGGCCTGGGTGTGGCTAGAGAAATTGAACTCAGCTTTCCAAAGATGTGATAAACCACAGTTAATTTATGTTTTAACAGTCGGGGGGCAATCACTTTTTCACACAGGGCCATGTAGGTTTGGATTTTTTTTCCCCCTTAATAATAAAAACCTTCATTTAAAAACTGCATTTTGTGTTTACTTGTGTTATCTTTGTCTAATATTTAAATTTGTTTGATGATCTGAAACATTTAAGTGTGACAAACATGCAACAAAATAAGAAATCAGGAAGGGGGCAAACACTTTTTCACACAACTGTATAGCCACTGGGCTTTGACAAGATCGGTCCTAATATCAATGAGCTCTGCCGGGATATATTGCTCATAGTTTCCCCCTAGTCAGTTATGTGTCACAGCCTACACTTATCTGTGTTTAACCATTTGCACTGTGGTGCTTCCATCCACTGCTTAGACCAGTACCTGTCGGACACTATGGGCTACCTGCTGGCCTGTCTGAAGAAGGAGAAGGAGAGGACGGCGGCCTTCCAGGCTCTGGGACTGCTGGTGGTGGCTGTCAGGACAGAAATCGAGCCGTACCTCACGAGGATCCTTGAGATCATCAAGGCCGCCCTGCCGCCCAAGGACTTTGCACACAAGTCAGTCATTTAATACATGACATGATGGCTCTAGCAGCTTGTAGTCTCTCTATACTGCCATTTATATTTCTTCATTTTGAGATATGGTAGACCTGTTTTTAAATAATAATTTTGGGATATTGTTTATGAAATGAAGAGAGACTTGCCGTGAGCTCATGTTTTCTTCCTTGCAGGAGGCAGAAGACCATGCAGGTGGACGCCACAGTGTTCACCTGCATCAGCATGCTTTCCAGAGCCATGGGTCCCAGCATCCAACCAGACATCAAGGAGCTGCTGGAGCCCATGCTGGCTGTGGGCCTCAGGTAGGACAGACTGCTCTCTCCATGAAGCAGAATGATTGAACTAACAACAAGTAGATGGGTTTAAATGCAGACTTTGTCTTATATGGCTTGTTCACTTATGTTTAAAGCTCCATGTGGAGATACACACACCACAACACGCTTCTTTGTCCTCATCTTAAGATGACAACTATGATGATATTGGGTTGTTTGTCCTTTTCGTCCCGGATCGTCTAGTCCTGCGCTGACAGCGGTGCTGTACGACCTGAGCCGTCAGATCCCCCAGTTGAAGAAGGACATCCAGGACGGCCTGCTGAAGATGCTCTCCCTGGTGCTGATGCACAAGCCGCTGCGTCACCCCGGCATGCCCAAAGGCCTGGCTCACCAGCTGGCCTCGCCAAGCCTCACAAACATCCCCGAGGCCAGCGACGTAGGCAGCATCACACTTGCCCTACGCACACTGGGAAGCTTTGAGTTTGAAGGCAAGAACCTTGCATGAGACACAGCTTCATAGCAGGACTATCATTTGATTCTTTAATGCTTATTTCTTAAGAAACTCGGCCAAGGAAAGTCCACAGATTGAAAAACATGTCCAGACCCCCAGATCAGTTCTAACACACCAAACACCAGTGATCTTTGGTTCAGTCAGTAGAAGAAAATCATTATTTTAGATATGGGCATTACAGCCCTTAAATAAATCCTAAAGCATGAGAAGAAATAACAGATGGACATGACTCCTCGGATTGGACTGCACATTCAGTAGAATTGGGGAAAAAAGGTTTTAAATTGAAGAGGCATAAACCATCGGGTATGGACCCACACGGGTGGGGGGGGCGCAAGTAGTCTGTAAGAAATGATTAAGTGAACTGCTGGAGTGGTTGTATTGAATGCTACGTCCAGCTGTTTTCTGGATTGGACCCATGGGGGTTTGAAGCAGCATACCACAGGATCATACAGCAGCCCAGGGTAAAACAATCGCTTCTTAAAGTCTTATGTTGTCATCCTGTATTGGACTGTGGGGTGGGTTTGCCTTTCTGCGCAACCTTTACTGCACAGATGTTACGAGTAATGGAACATTTCTGGCTCTTCTTTTAAAAACAAGTTGTTGACCAACTCCCACTGCAGCACACACATCCAGACCTCTTCAGAGTTTAGTTTTGTAACCCCAAACTAATTGAAATGGAAGCTGTATACATGCATTCAGTGTAGTAAAACCTAACATGGTTTATGATTACCTGTATTTCTACCCCGACTCGTCCTGAACTACAGTTAAACCAAAAAAGTGTCTGTAATGCCAAATCTCCCTGTTTCAGGGATCATTCTAACTCTCCGTTCTTTCTCCAGGACACTCCCTCACCCAGTTTGTGCGCCACTGTGCCGATCACTTCCTGAACAGTGAGCACAAGGAGATCCGGATGGAGGCCGCTCGGACCTGCTCCCGCCTCCTCACGCCCTCCATCCACATGATCAGCGGCCATGTTGTCAGCCAGACTGCCGTGCAGGTTGTTGCGGATGTGCTCAGCAAGCTGTTAGTTGTTGGCATCACCGACCCAGGTAACGCATGAAAGAATACAACAAGGGGAGGAAGGGGACGGCAGTAGCATGTGGATTTATTGAGCTTCGTTTCATTTTGAAATTGGTTATGATGTCTCTGAAAGTGATGGGAACTCAATTATGCAAGAATCGGCATTTGATTATAAGAAATGTTGCATTGGAGGTTGAGAGTCAAAATGTCTGACTTTTTCTTGTCCCTGTCCCCCCCCCCCTTCAGATCCAGACATTCGATACTGTGTGCTGGCATCTCTCGATGAGCGCTTCGACGCTCACCTCGCCCAGGCGGAGAACTTGCAGGCGCTGTTCGTTGCGCTGAACGACGAGGTGTTTGAGATCAGAGAGCTGGCCATCTGCACAATCGGGCGCCTCAGCAGTATGAACCCTGCCTTTGTCATGCCCTTCCTACGCAAGATGCTCATCCAGGTAGGAGAGGCACAGCAGATGGCTCACACGGAGCAGCCAGATGTTTAACAGCTGTAGCACAAGTGACAAATTGTCATTTGTGAACATCAGGTCGGGGTGACAGTCTGTCCAGTGTGCATGAAAGACAAAACCCTCATTCCTAAAGACTAATGCTACAAATTTGAAATATGTTAAACTCAATACATTTCCACATAGAGGTTTTTAATCACATTTTAAATAGATGATGATTATTATTATTATCTTGTGCTGGAAATGATGAAAACATTCTCTCCAAGACATTTGAGAAATGATATCTATTTTTAAATTAACATCAAAAAGGATGTTAAAAAAAAAATAATGGTGTTAAATACAAATACAATATTTATATTTGTATCATCATGCACAGATATGTAGATAAATGTTCTGCTTGAAAATATCACTTATCTGTTATTTCAATTGGACACCTTTAGATGGCAGCAAAGGCCGTGGTATTGTTCACAGTTTAAACATCCACAGTAGTCCTCTATTAGACCTACTGAAGGTTTGTTGTTTAAAGACACCATTATGTACACCTTGCATTAACCTTTAGGATTCACTCCAGATAGAGAAGCCTCCACACTTAACTCTGTTCTGAATCCTGTTGCAGATCTTAACAGAGCTGGAGCACAGCGGTGTCGGCAGGAACAAAGAGCAGAGTGCTCGTATGCTTGGTCATCTGGTGTCCAACGCCCCGCGCCTCATACGGCCATATATGGAGCCCATCCTCAAGGTACACCACTGCCACTCTCCACTGTGAAGGTGTTGGTGTGTATGAATGTAAGCCGGGCTGTTACTTAAGTGGAGCGTGTGTACTCGGTAGACTTCACACATCAAAGTGTGTTGAGAGTTGCATTGTGGGTCATGTAGCCGCCAGGTTTTGACGAGAGAGAAGAATGGTTGAAATAAAAAAATGTTATAGGGGTCCAATGCAAAGTCTGTGGAGGAATCTTTTACAATTTAATTTCCTGAAGCTCTTCAAGGGTTGTTTTTCAGATTATTAAAATTATGGAGAGCTCTTTGGTACATTAAGTGACCACGTTACCTTTTTCCTTTGCAGGCTCTCATCCTCAAGCTGAAAGACCCAGACCCCAACCCTGGAGTGGTCATTAGTGTCCTTGCGACCATCGGCGAGTTGGCTCAGGTAAGGCTGAGTGCTTCAATTTCTCCAAGTTGTAAGAGGACACTATTAGCCGGTGTATCATATTCATTCTCTAGCTGCTGCTGATTGAAACCCAGTAAATCCGAGCAGAAGTTTTCTTTTTTTCCCCCTTGTGCACATTATCTCTCGCTGACACAGTTTTAATGCAAGCATTCTGAGCTTGTCCTTTTCTGAGGTGGAAAGTTCAGGGTAGATCCCCGCCCATGGATCTGTGCATTGCCCCCCCCCCCCCCCCCCCGTCCAGGTGATTCGATGGTCCCCGCACAGGAGTCAGGAAAACACGATTAAAGGCAGGCAGACTCTGCAGTTCAGACAGAGTGCAGGAGGTGCTCAGGTAGACCGAGTCTTCACGGGTGACTTAGCGCAGGAAGAGACAGACGCCCAGCTGCTTGGGAAGCAGCACAGGGAGACGCGACAAAACGTAGGGAATTCAGACGACAGCCATGAAATGCCAAGCCAAATTGCATGCTTTGTAAGTTTTAAGCCACTATGTTTAGAGTTCGAAAATGTGTTCACAAAAGAGACTGTAGTCAATGTTGCAGCAAAACACCCCCTCTACCCTAATGAAGCCGACCCAACTTAGAGAAGTCTATGTAAAACACATACCATACCATCATAATAATTAAACATAAGAACTGTGGTTTGATATGGTCCGATTGAAACTGTTCATTTATATTACTTGTCATTTAAATGTAAAAAGTAATTATTCCCGCCCTTTCAGATGTTAGAAGATCTTAGTGATGTACAATTGGACAGTGTGGTGTTGTTTACTTCACCTGTGCCTACCTGTGTCAGGTGAGTGGCCTGGAGATGAGGAAGTGGATGGACGAGCTTTTTCCAATCATCATGGACATGCTGCAGGACTCCTCCTCATTGGCCAAACGACAGGTACGCCACGAAAATCAGTGTCCTCCTACAATATGCACCTACTTTCAGTTTACATAGCAGGATGGACACACCAAAAAATTATTTTTGAAAGTATTGTGCGTCTGGTATTTCCTGTTTAAACAGGAGTGTGTGCCAGGAGCTTACACATCGAGGATAATTCAAAAGTAGTAACCAATGACCTGCAGGATTAATGGCTGTAATGTTCTTTTCCACCTATTTACACGGAATATAGTGTACAATAAGATTACATCAAAATCAAACGAAAGTAACTGTTGCATTGTTACTTAAATAGTTCCATTTTATTACAAGGATGGTGAAGTAACAATGCAAAGAAAAGTGTATCCCAAACATTATACTTCATGCTTTCCACCAGGTGGCGCTGTGGACACTGGGCCAGCAGGTGGCTAGTACAGGTTATGTGGTGGAGCCCTACCGCAAGTACCCCTCCCTTCTGGATGTGCTGCTCAACTTCCTCAAGACGGAACAGAACCAGGGCATCAGGAGAGAGGTACGCCACTTCTTGTCCCATTTTTACCCCACGGTTGTCTTCATAGCAATGTGAAACCAACTCCGTCATTCTGAGGCCAGACACCCTCCCTGTCAACGTACACTAAACAAATATAGGTCTGTGTAGTTGCATTGACTTGACTGGTAAATTGTAATCACGTGTATGCAGACAGTATGAAGCGACAGTATGATGCTCTGGCATTTCTCGCCCCCGGATCCAGCATCTAATACGTCTGAAATCCAGTTGGGCTCATTATCCAATGGTAGTTGCTAGTCGAGGGTGACTATGTACCCTGTACAAACAGCAAGCATTTATGTCAAGTTTTAGCTTACTTTTGTACGTTGTCGGGTTTCGTATGAACGTCTGTCTTTTGAGTATCATACGTTCAGCTTGTAGGCCTAAAGAGATGGCTCTGCTTACTGCTTTAAAGAGTGTGTTCAGTTTGGATTCACAGCATTACAGATTCCAGCCGTCTATGCACGTCTATTTGCACTATTATACACTAATATTAATAGTATTGAACTATTTATAGAATTCGATTCCTGCGTACGATTGTGTCCAACTTGTGTGATCCAAACATTTCCAATAACTCCAGAGCGTTGTGAAGTCTAAAAGTAAAAATGTATTGAAAAAAAGACAATAATTTATCAAAATTCACATGTTTTATATTACATGTCTAAATATTCTGCTTCGATCCATATTTGTTAGTCTTTCAAAAACAACATTTTCACTGCGGTCAAAAAACAGTTGTCTCTACTGCTTGCTGCACGCTAAGAGAGGCACGCGCCGTTATTAACGGGGTGTTCTAGCAGCAATCTAACTGCACCATTAATCACATTTATATACCCCCGATAACCAAAATCAGTTTTTTTCCACATTTATTTAGGGTCATGACTTCATGACGACAGACCTTCAAATCTTCATTCAAAAGCCTCAATTGAAGCTCTGAATGTAAAGAAACGACACATAGCCTTATATGCTGCTTCAACAGAGCTCCAGAACTATACGGAGGCCATAACACTTTGTAACTGCTGTCAAAAGAATGCTCATTTTCTTAGAATGCTGAGAGCGTGACCAAGTCTGACCGTCTTGTTGAGGAGTTCTCTGCTGTTAGACATGTGTTCCGGTGGAACCGCTCAGTGGAAGATTTGCTAACCGTGTGCTGTGCGCTCCAACAGGCTATCCGTGTCCTGGGCCTCCTCGGAGCTCTGGACCCCTACAAGCACAAGGTGAACATCGGCATGATCGACCAGTCACGAGACGCCTCCGCCGTCAGTCTCTCTGAGTCCAAGTCCAGTCAGGACTCAGGTAGGCCACAACAGCTGATCACAGTTTTAGGAATACTATTGCGCTGCAACTCTTTCACCACGAGTCACAATGGAAAGTAGTTAAACTTTTTATTTGTGTTTCTCAAAGTTACGGCGGAATTAAATTCTCATTCTTCCAAATTATTTTGCAATTCTGCAACAGCTGGAAAATCTCTAAATCAACAGGAACCTTTTTCTAAAATCTCACTTTTGTCTGTGTGAGCCTGATGGATAGTGTTATACAGAGTCTGTATGTAGATCATCATGGAATTTGTGTTGATTTTTATCAGTCAACCAGATTGTGAGGGGCAAGTAAACCGCAAGGCAGAGGTTTTTTGGTTCACATGTAATGTCCAGTATGCTGTAGTTCTTGTGTTTAGTATTTTAAAAGGAATGATGTTTCCACTAAGACATGAAGGATTTACTGTATTACCCCTTCTGACACCCTTTCATCTCTAAACCTCTGCATAGCCACCCATTGAGGTGGTCCAATGCGTTTGGCAACATTAAGAACATACTGTGTGTGTGTGTGTGTGTGTGTGTGTATATATATGTATATGTATATGTATATGTATATATGTATATGTATATGTATATATGTATATATGT